AGCAGCAGCAGCGGCAGCAGCAGCAGGTGGGGAGGCGGGGGACAGCAGCAGCACTTCTCGCCGCTGCTCAGATATAGTCCAGAGCATATGTGGGGGGTTGCTGGCAGCAAGCAGCACCCAGAGCAGCGCCGTAATGCCATTTCAGAAGCACGTGGTTGCTGCTGCTGCTGCTGCTGCAGAGATGCAGCGCGGTCGCGCGGGCGGCTCAGAGCAGCAGCAGCCGCAGCAGCAGCAGCAGGCAGCTGGGGGCTTGTCTTTGCCTTCAGAGTTTTCTGTCTACATGCGGCAGGCACTTGGGCTGGTTGCAGCAGCAGCAGCAGTGTCCCAGTCGTCGCTTGCTGCTGCGTTCCCCTCGCTGCAGCAGCAGGCGCTGCAGCAGCAGCAGCAGGCGCTGCAGCAGCAGCAGCAGGACCCTGCTGGGGGCAGGCTGTGGGACAAACTGATGGGCTCTTGCGAGGCGACACTAGCTGCATGCAAGGCGTCGATTTCAGCAGAGCAGGAGCAGCAGCAGCAACTCCCAGCAGCAGCAGCAGCAGCAGCAGCGGAAGAGGAGCTGGGGACACAGGCACTGCTCCGCGTGGAGGGTTTGTCGTCGATTGTGACTTCTCTGGTCTACACGAACTTCCTTACGCTGCTGCAGCTGACAGCTTTATCGCAGCAGCAGCAGCAGCAGCAGCAGCAGCAGCAGCGGGACAGCAGCAGCTGCAGCAGCGCTAGTGTAGTCCCTTCGCCTCCTGCAACCCCGACGGCCACAACAGTCAGCAGCGACTCCCCCATACATCAGCTGCTGCTGCCGCCGCAGCAGCAGCAGCAGAAGACTGCAGATTCGCAGCTTCTGTTGGCTCTCCCTCGTTGTGCTGCTGCCGAAGGTGCGGCAGTGCAGCAGCAGCAGCAGCAACAGCAGCTGAAGCAAGAACCGTCGCTGCTAATGCAGGAGATGCAGCAGCAGCAGCAACAGCAGCAGATATGGGACCTGCATGAGGCGTTCCAGAAATTTGTTGGGACGTTTGCAGGTTCATTGCAGCAGCAGCAGCAGCACACGGGGAGCAGCAGCATCCTGGCGCCTTCAGCCGCGCCGCACTTCGACCAGCAGCAGCAGCAGCAGCAGCAGCAGCAGCAGCAGTTAGACCTGCTCCTCAGCAGCACTGTTGGGGGTTTGCAGCTGGGCACATCTGCAGCAGCAGCTCCTGCTGCTGCTGCTGGTAATTCAGCAGCACAGCGGCAGCAGCAGATGCTGCTGCCAGCATCACCAGCCCCCAGTTTGCTGCCAGAGACCAACTCTCTGCTGCAGCAGCAGCAACAGCAGCAGCTGCCGGCGACGGCGAGCGGCACACAGCAGCAGCAGCAGCTCCTGCTGCTGCTGCAGCAGCTGCAGCAGCAGCAGCATACCAAGCAAGACCCTGGGGTAGGCGGGGGTCTTCCGCGGCAGTGCAGCAGCTTAGTTGATGCTGCTGCTTTTCTGCAGCTGCAGCAGCAGCAACCTCTGCCTTCCATCAGCGAAGTGAATAGATTCCTGCTGCACAGCAGCAGCAGCTGACAGCAGCAGCAGCTGACAGCAGAAGCAGCTGACAGCAGCAGCGGCTGCCAGCAGAAGCAGCTGACAGCAGCAGCAGCTGACAGCAGCAGCGGCAGTGGGGCCGCAGCGTCTACGGAAACCAACCCGAGCTGCAGCAGGAGCAACAGCAGCAGCAACAACGGCAGCAGCAGCAACGGCAGCAGCAGCAGGTCAAGTCGATTAATCCTATGCGCCGTCCGTGTATCCGTACGTTAACTAGGACCGCAGCAGCAGCAGCGGCAGCAGCAGCAGCGAGGGCTCTTGCTGCTGCTGCTGCTGCTGTGTTTATATTTAGTAGATTAGATTGGCAGCCCCGCTGCGCAACAGAGTGGGGCTTTGCATGCATTTCATGTTTTTGCTGTTTTGCTGCTGCTGCTGCTGCTTCCTTTTATGTTTATTATAATTAGAATTTAGAAAAAGTTTTTGAAATTAATTTGCTGCTGGTGTGCTTTATTATTTATGTTTATATTTACCCTGCTGCAGTTTATAATTTATTGAATTTATTATTTATTATTTATTTACTTATTTATGTATAATAATATATTTATTATGTTTATTAATTTATTGCATTACTGTGTTACTGCATTTGTATTTGTTATTAAACTTAAATTTGTTTATTTTAATTAATTATTTTCTTTCATTTAGTAATTGAGGCCAGTGCTGTATCCTTTAAGTCTGCATTCCTCTAGTCCCTTCACCGCTGCACTTGCTGCTGCTGCTGCAGCTGCTGCAGCAGCAGCAGCTGCTGCTGCTGCTGTGTTACTTCCCGGCGTTCGCGGTTTGTGGCTTCGCCGGGCGTTTTGTCCCTTTTTGCATTAATAAATTTGATGGAAATGGAAATTAGAAAAGTAAATAGAAGAAGTAATCGCCTTTGGTTCCTGCTGCTGCTGCTGCTGCAGCGCGAGTTGCATTTGTTTTGCTGCTAATGTGAGTTCAATTATCCGCAAATGCAAAACACAAAAGACGCAAATGCAAAAACACAAAAAGAACTTTTGAGGCGCGCGGCGCTGGCTGCGGGCGGAGCGCATGCACGGGGTGTACGTACACCGCAGCTGCTGCTGCCGCCCCCCAGGGTGTTTATTTGTGCATATTTGTGTCCTTTTGGAGAGGATTTATTTGCGAAATTGCATTTCATTGTATAGAGCGCGTCAATTGAATTTAAATGGACTTCTTTGCTCGTCTTTAGGCCCCCGAGAAGAGGAGTTGCGGGCCCCGCAGTGTACATACACCCCAAGCATGTTCCCCGTACTCGATCTGCGCTGTACGCACATGTGTTTATTATTTATTCATTTTCATTTCATCCATTTATCAAGTCTTTATGATTTGGCACTTCGGGCCTCTGCACACAAAGATTCTCCTGCATGCAGGTGCATGCGCGCGGTTGCATGCGCTCTGCATGCATGCGCATGCATGTTTCTGCATGCGCATGCATGCGCTCTGCATGCACTGCATGCATGCGCATGCATGTTTCTGCATGCGCATGCATGCGCTCTGCATGCACTTCATGCTTTTTGCATGTATTTTTCCCCCTTGCATGCCAATGCACTTCCTGCACTTGCACGCAGCTGCACGCACGCACTTGCATGCAGTTGCGTCCATGCATGCATGCATTCCCAGTGCATGCATGCGCTTGCATGCAAATGCATGCATGCAAATGCATGCATGCGCTTGCATGCATGCATTTGCATGCATGCGCTTGCATGCATGCATTTGCATGCATGCAGCGGCGCGTTGCATGCGGTTGGCGTTCGAGTTTGAATGCGCCATTTTGGACTTCTTTGTTTTGCTGCAGTGGCGGTTTTTGAGTTGATTTAAATGCTTTTGCATTTGCAATTTCATTTAGTGCCATTTTTCGGGTCTTCAGCTCATTTTAATTGCCATTTAGATATCTAACTCTTCCCCTTTTTGCTGCTTCCCACCTAGGGTTTAGGGTTTAGAGCTCGTTACCGGGCCCCGAGGGTTTAGGGTTTAGGGTTTGGAGTTCGCTGCCAGGCCCCGAGGGTTTAGGGTTTAGGGTTTGGAGTTCGCTGCCGGGCCCCGAGGGTTTAGGGTTTGGGGTTGGGAGTCAGTTTTTCGCGCGGCCGCGGCGGAGGCCGCGAGGAGGCCCCCGTGGGGCAGCCAAAAGAGCCAGTTCCGAGGGTTTAGGGTTTAGGGTTTAGGGTTTGGCTCCTCGCTGAGGCCCCAGGGGGCCAGAGTGACAATTTCTTCTGCTGCTGTGGGGTGTATAGCCACGCAGCGGTCCAGGTCGGCTTTTGTGGCTCCCTGAAAAAAAAAATGAAATAAAAGAATCAAATATTTTTAAAAATTTTAAAAGAATTAAAAAAAAGATTAAAAGAACTAAAAAAGAGAAAGGAGATAAGAGGGGGCAGAAGGTGTGAAAAGGAATCAAAAAATGCGACAAAGCAGAAAATAAGGAATCAAAACGACAAAAAGGTGAAAGGACCAAAAATTGGAGAAGACAAAAAGAGATGCAATTAGTGATTAAATAGACAAGAAGAGATAAAAGAAAGACAACACAAACTGAAATGGCATTTACTTTAATTTTAAATTAAAATGGCATTCATTTTAATTATTTTTTCGTTTTTTTGATATTTGGAGATGAGAAAAGAAGCATCCAGAAGAGCCCTTGCTGCTGCGGTGTACGTACACCTGAGTCGCTTTGCAGTGCTTTTGCCATTTTCAATTTTCTTTTACCTCTTTTATTTCATTTCCTTCGCTTATATGTTCAAAAGATAAAGTGCAAGTCCTCGCAAACCCTAAACCCTAAAGCCTAAACCTCTCAGCAGCAACTTCGTTTGTTGTGGCTTTTGTTTGTAAGCTCCGTGGACCGTTTAAACGCCATTTGATTGGATTTAATGGATTAAAATGATTAAATTTATTAAATTAAATTGATTTAATTGATTTAATTTAATTAACTTGATTCATTTAATTCATTTAATGTTGTTTTAATTACCATTTTTATGGCCACTGCAAAACCCTGCAAAATTTCGTCCGCGCTCAAACCCACCAAATGGAGGCCCACAATTTTTTCTTTTTGAGACTGCAGAAATAAAAATAAATTAAAAATAAAAATAAATAAATAAATTAAAATAAATAAATTAGAATAAGTAAATTGAAATTAATAAATTGAAATAATAAAATGAGACAATTAAATGAAAGATTTGGCATTCAAAATATTGTTTTAAACATTCTTGAAGAATAATAATTCATTTAATTGAACAAATTAAAATTCAAAAAAAAAATTTGCAGATAAAGCAGCACAGCAAATTCATTTTGTGAATATTCTTCAATTTTATTTTTAAAACAAGAAAATAATTCATTTTATGAATTCTTTCATATTCTTTTTTAAAATAATTAATTTTTACGATAATTCTTTCAGGAAACAGAACACCTTCATGTAAATTAAAAATAATTTAATGACAAAATGACAATCCTTTTTTTTAATAAAATAAAGCACCTTTACGCAATACAATTAATGGTAAATATTTTCAAAAAAAGATAAGAAAATGAAACACCTTTAGGCAAATGAGTTTAATGAAAGTCTTTGGCTTTTCTTCTGGAGGAATTTGATAAGCCCCGTACAGCAAATTCACGCAGCTGCCGTTGTACACCTGAATAACAGCAGCAGTAGCAGCAGCAGCAGCAGCAGCAGCTAGAGTGCAACAGAAGCAGCAACAGCAACTGGAGCGCAGCAGCAAGAGCAGCAACTGGAGTGCAGCAGCAACAACAGCGCAGCAGCAGCTAGAGCACAGCAGCAGCAGCAGCTAGAGCACAGCAGCAAGAGCAGCAGCAGCAGCAGCAGCAGCTAGAGCACAGCAGCAGCAGCAGCTAGAGCACAGCAGCAGCAGCAGCAGCAGCGCAGCAGCTGGCTTCACTGCGAGCAGCGGCGCTGTCGCCTTGTGCCCTCGTTCCCTGCCGCGGGCTAGGGTTTAGGGTTTAGGGTTTGGACCTTGAGGTCTTCTTTTCCGAATTGTTTTGCTGCTTCTTCTTCCGAAAACCCCACACTCCCAATTGGGGGATGAGAAAAAATGACAGAAGGAACAAAATCGTAATCGGCCTTTGCATGCGCCAGGTGTCCGTACACCCGGTCGGCCAGCCGCCGCCCCGCGGCTATCGCCATCGGAGTCAACTCCACCTGACAAACCCTAAACCCTAACCCTAAACCCTAAACCCCAAACGCTAAACCCTAAACCCTAAACCCGCAACCCGGGACCCGGAACCCTAAACTCGCGGCAATTGCATCGGAGTCAGCTCCACCTGACACCCAAAAACCCTAAACCCTAAACCCTAAACCCTAAACCCGCGCAATATTCGTAGATGTTTGCAGCGCACGGGCCTCTCCCTTAAGCGGTTGTGGAATGAGCTCATTATCAGACAAATGAATTACTGTATTGATGGAGGAACTGAAATGTGGGTCTAGCTGGTGTTAGGGTTTAGGGTTTAGGGTTTAGGTTGAGGGTTTGGACCTTGCCGCAGCAGTCTCCGAGGGCGAAGATCCCGGGGACATTAGTGTTTTGGAAAGAATCAGTTTTAATATATTTCTGATTAATCATTTCGACGTTGAGGGTTTGCAAATTTAGGTCTTCGGTTTCGGGTGTACGTCCAGTTGCGTTTATTATACACTCGAACGGCCCGTGCTGCTGCCCGTTCTCCAGCTGCAGCAGCAGCGCCCCGCTGCTGCCCTTCACTGCAGCGGGAACGCTGTGCGGGAACACCTGAAACAGCAGCAAGCCGTACGCGGCCGCGCACTCAGCTGCAGCCGCAGCAGCCTGCAGCTGCAGCTGCAGCAGCAGCAGCAGCAGCAGCAGCTGCAGCAGCAGCAGCAGCAGCAGCGGCAGCGGACCTGGATGCCGAGTTTGCGCATGTTGTCGAGGTTCTGCTGCTGGATCATGGAGTCGAACTTGCGGAGAGGCGCGTGCTGCCTGCAGAAGAAGTGAGTCTCCGACCCCAAGGACTGCAGCACAGCAGCAAGTTCAACAGCAATATAACCCCCCCCAACAACGCCCACTTTCCGCGGCTGCTGCTGCAGCGCGAAAAAGCCCGCGCTGTCTATGCACAGCTCGCCCCCAGGCACGCGCAACGGGCTCGGACGACCGCCTGCAGCAGCAGCAGCAGCAGCAGCAGCAGCAGCGGGGAAGCTGAACAGGAGGTGGTTTCAAGGGGGCTGCACGCTGCGAATGGGAGGTGGGAAGGGAATTATTCGCGGAAGTGGAAAGGAAAGGCGAAAAGGAAAAAAACCTAATTGGCGGGAAATGGAAATCAGAAGTGTGCAAATCGCCGAGATGAGCTGCAAACCCCAAACCCTAAACCCTAACCGTAAACCCTAACCCTAAACCCTAAACCCTAAACCCTAAACCCTAAACCCTTGTCGCGTACCTGTGGCTATGAGCACGTGTTTGGCAGTGAGCCGCTGGAGAGGCTCCGCGCCCTTTGCTGCTTCTTCTTTGGAAGAGTTCACTACAACGACGTGTTGGCCGTTGGCTTCGTCTTTGGGCTTGAGAGTTGCAAAGCCGTAGTAGCGGTGGACCTGGGACTTGTCGAGGTTGTCTTCGTAAATGCGGTTGAGTCTTTTGATGTAGTTTTCGCGATTTTGCACAAGTCTTTGCCAATTTAAACGCGGAGGATCGCTGAATTCCACTCCCAAGTGTTTCATGCCTTGCAGGCTTTCGAAGGCGTTCGCGGCGCACCACATGATCTGTACATACACCCCAGAAGCCGACGCCGGGGGGCGCGATCTTCATGGAAAGCGCCACGTTTTTCGAAATTTAAAGACTAAAATGGATAAAGTAAACAAAAATACGCTCATTTTTGCAAAACAAATTTCGAAATCGGCCGCGGTTTTGCCAGTTTCCGCCCGTTCACCTTTTTCGGCACGCAGCCAACGTTCACACAAGTGCCCCCCATTCGGCTGCGCTCCACCAGCGCCACTTTCGCCCCATATGTTGCAGCTCTTCTGGCGAAGGCAATTCCGCCGCTGCCGCCGCCCAAGACGACGCAATCGAAGTGGTGAGCTGCTGCAGCAGATCGCAGCAGCAGTAGCAGCAGCAGCAGCAACTCGCGAGAAAGCGCACAGCAGCGACTCTGCAGCAGAGAAACGCTAACTGGAGCTACGCAAAAGCCTGGAAACGCTTAAGTGCAACTTTTCGCTAGTGCTGGCAGCACCTGCCATTGCGGAAAGATGAGGCTGCGAGGCCGGTGCAGAGTCTCGTTGCTGCAGCTGCTGCTGGAGGCTCAGGAAGCAGCACTTGAATTTGAAATGCAAAGAACTCTTTTAATTCAAAAAGACTCTTTTGCAAAAAGATCCCGAAGCGAAGACACGCAGCAGCGCCTCGGGAGCCCCATTGGTTTCGGGGCGGGCGGCGCGCTAGCTGCAGAGTTGCGTTTCGAGAACAAGTGAAATTCAGAAACTTGAATTTAAATTCAAGTTTTATTTTTCCTTTTTTTTTCAAGATCTTCCCGCTGCGCCCAGCAGCAGAAGGCCGCAGCCGCCAGCGCCGCCGCGCCCTCAGCTGCATTTCAAATGCGACTTCTTCGTTCTTCTTTTTCTCTTTTCTTTTCTTCCAGATTCATTTCTTCCATTTCGCACTTTGGCAAAGTTTCAAATTCTCAACTCGGGCCAATCAGCGGCGCTTTCTGTCGCCCAGGTGTGCAGTCTCGGGGCCTCGGGCTCAGCCACGCTGAATCTGAATTCAATTTTCATTTCGTTTCTTCAATTTCACTTTTATTTGCACTAAACAAAGAAGTGAAAGTTGAATTTGTGCACATTCGTAGCGACGGATTCGGGTGTACGTACACGTCAGCATGCACCGCTCGCACCTCCTCAACTGCTAGTTCCCCATTTTTGCAAGTTTGACCTCCTCCAGCCTTCCTTTTCTCGATTTTCCTCCACTTTTTGGCAATTAATTTACTGTTTCTCCTTTTCAGGCTTTCTCACCGCGGCAACCATGGCAGATCCGCCTCCTCAGCCCAAGACCGAAGACGAATGGCGCCAGATCTTAACTAGTAACTGCTTCCTGAACACTCACTGCTTTCTTCTTTCTTAGCAGCGCTAAATGCATTAAAAGGCTTTTCAGAGAAAGTCAAAGTCCTCAGACCCCAGATATTCAGCTGTTCAAGTTAACTGGCAAAGACAGAATCATGCACATGCACACTGTAAACCCTAAACCCTAGGCCCTCACGACCTGTACGTACACACCAAGTGCGTGTGCGACTCAAGGGGCGTGTGCCCAAAGTGAAGCTGTGAACCCTAAACCCTAAACCCTAAACCCTGAGGAGCAAATTTCCGGTGCCGGAGAGCTCGCGGGTGGCGATCTTATTTCTTCAGAAGTAAACAGATGAATTTAAAATGAATTTAAAATGAATCTGAAATGAATTCGAAATGAATTTTGGCAAATTAATTTGAAATAAATGCATTTAATTCAATTCTTTTTCATGAATCGTTTTGCTGCTGCTCCCAGGAGAGGAATACAGAGTCCTGAGGGAGAAGGCCACAGAGCCCGCAGGCAGCGGCAAGCCCCAAACCCTAAACCCTAAACCCTAAACCCTACTTTTCTCTGCAGCCGGCCGTTCGCTCCTTCACCGCATGCCTTCTGTTCCAGAGCTTGCGTCTCCGAGTCTGGCGTTTACTTCCACGGAAACA